TCCTTGCAGTCCTTTATTACGTATGACAGCTGCATACTTAACCTGGCAGTGCTTTATTACGTATAACAGCTACGTACTTAAGATTTCCTTGTAGTCCTTTATTACGTATGACAGCTGCGTACTTAAAATTGCAGTCCTTTATTACGTATGACAGCTGCGTATTTAACATTGCAGTCCTTTATTACGTATGACAGCTGCATACTTAACCTTGTAGTCCTTTATTACGTATGACAGCTGCATACATTACCTTGTAGTCCTTTATTACGTATGACAGCTGCGTATTTAACCTTGCAGTCCTTTATTACGTATGACAGCTGCGTACTTTACCTTGTAGTCCTTTATTACGTATGACAGCTGCGTATTTAACCTTGCAGTCCTTTATTACGTATGACAACTGCGTACTTAACATTGCAGTCCTTTCTTACGTATGACAGCTGCGTACTTAAGATCTCCATGCAGTCCTTTATTACGTATGACAACTGCATACTTAACATTGCAGTCCTTTATTACGTATGACAACTGCGTACTTAACATGGCAGTCCTTTAATACGCATGACAGCTGTGTACTTAACCTTGCAGTCCTTAATTGCGTATGACAGCTGCGTACTTAAGATCTCCATGCAGTCCTTTATTACGTATGACAACTGCGTACTTAACTTGGCAGTCCTTTAATACGTATGACAGCTGTGTACTTAACCTTGCAGTCCTTAATTAAGTATGACAGCTGCGTACTTAAGATCTCCATGCAGTCCTTTATTACGTATGACAACTGCGTACTTAACATTGCAGTCCTTTATTACGTATGACAACTGCGTACTTAACATTGCAGTCCTTTATTACGTATGACAACTGCGTACTTAACATGGCAGTCCTTTAATACGTATGACAGCTGTGTACTTAACCTTGCAGTCCTTAATTACGTATGACAGCTGCGTACTTAAGATTTCCATGCAGTCCTTTATTACGTATGACAGCTGCGTACTTTACCTTGCAGTCCTTTATTACGTATGACAGCTGCATACTTAACATTGCAGTCCTTTATTACGTATGACAGCTGCATACTTAACCTTGCAGTACTTTATTACGTATGACAACTGCGTACTTAAAATTTCCTTGCATCCCTTTATTACGTATGACAGTTGCGTACTTAAGATTTCCTTGCAGCCCTTTATTACGTAAGACAGCTGCGTACTAATCCTTGTAGTCCTTTATTACGTATGACAGCTGCGTACTTAACCTTGCAGCCCTTTATTACGTATGACAGCTTCGAACTTAAGATGTCCTTAGAGTCCTTTATAACGTATGACAGCTGCGTACTTAAGATTTCCTTGCAGTCCTTTATTACATATGACAGCTGCGCACTTAAGATTTCCTTGCAGTCCTTTATTACGCTACAAATGTCGTTAGTTTATTGCTGGTTTATTGCTAGTCCTTCATTTATTGAAATTGGTTGACAGTAATATTTCAAATTACAGAAACTTGTAAATTTACGAAAAGAGAAGGACGATTTTCTTAGAATCAAAATAATGGATATATTATGTAAATTTGAAATAATAGGAATACTCCAGAAGCATAGATTGCAAAGTTCATTAAATTACATAAATTTGATAACCCTAACTCTAACCATAACGAGAAAATGTGCATACATATCAAAATGCAAAAGAAGTGACGGTGATTAAAACTTCGGCACAATTCAATTAACTATGAATAACTAATCCAACGACAGACGATGTTACTTTTTATAACACTTACACACTGTACAACGTTTCTGTACTGTACATCACATTACCAGACTTACTGTCCATACTATCAATAAACTCTATGGCATTAATAACCATCCTACTAACATATAGGGCATTACTGGATATCGCATCAACACACTCTGTGTCATTACTGTTCATATCACATTCATACTCTGTGTCATTACTGTTCATATCACAATCACACTCTGTTTCATTACTGTTCATATCACAATCACACTCTGTGTCATTACTGTTCATATCACAATCACACACTGTGTCATTACTGTTCATATCACAATCACACTCTGTGTCATTACTGTTCATATCACAATCACACTGTGTCGTTACTGCTCATATCACAATCACACTCTGTGTCATTACTGTTCATTTCACAATCACACTCTGTGTCATTACTGTTCATATCACAATCACACACGTGTTATTACTGGTCATTTTACTACCACACGTGATATTACTGGTTATCTCACCACCACACTCTGTGATATTACTGGCCATCTCAACAAAACACTGTGTCATTACTGTTCATTTCACAATCACCCTCTGTGGCATTACTGTTCATATCACAATCACACTTTGTCGTTACTGCTCATATCACAATCACTCTCTGTGTCATTACTGTTCATATCACAATCACACACGTGTTATTACTGGTCATTTTACTACCACACGTGATATTACTGGTTACCTCCCCACCACAATCTTTGTGATTACTGGTCATCTCACCACCAAACTCTGTGTCATTTCTGGTCATCTCACCACCAACCACACTGTGTCATTACTGGTCATCTCACAAGCACACACTGTGTCATTACTGGTCATCTCACCACCACACTCTGGTGTTACTGGTCATCTCACCACCACACTTTGGTGTTACTGGTCATCTCACCACCACACTCTGGTATTACTGGTCATCTAATCACCAAACAATGCGTTGTTACTGGTCATCTCACCACCTTTCTGTGTCATAACTGGTTATCTCAACAGCACACTGTGTTATTACTGGTCATCTCAACACGAATCTCTGTGTCATTACTGGTCATATCAACACCACTCGGTGTTATTACAGGTCATCTCACCACTACACTCTGTTATTACTGGTCATCTCATCACTACACTCTGTGTCACTACTCGTTATATCCCCACTCCAATCTCTGGCATTACTGGTCATCTCACCACCACACCCTGTGATATTACTAGTCATCTCACCACCACACTCTGGTATTACTGGTCATCTAATCACCAAACAATGCGTTGTTATTGGTCATCTCACCACCTTTCTGTGTCGTAACTGGTTATCTCAACAGCACACTGTGTTATTACGGGTCATCTCAACACGAATCTCTGTTTCATTACTGGTCATCTCATCACCACACTGTGTCACTACTGGTTATATCGGCACTACCCTCTGTGTTTTTACAGGTCATCTCGCCACTACACTCTGTGTCACTACAGGTTATATCGGCACTACACTCTGTGTCATAACTGTCATTACAGGTCATCTCACCACCACACTCTGGTATTACTGGTCATCTAATCACTACATTCTGTGTCACTACTGGTTATATCAGCACTACTCTCTGTGTCACTACTGGTCATCTTACCACTACACACTGTGTCACTACTGGTCATCTTACCGCTGCACTCTGTGTCACTACTGGTTATCTCATCACTACACTCTTTGTCACTACTGGTCATCTCACCACTACACACTGTTATTACTGGTCATCTAATCACTACATTCTGTGTCACTACTGGTTATATCACCATTATATCAGCACTACACTCTGTGTCACTCCTGGTCATCTCATCACTACACACTGTGTTTTTACAGGTCATCTCACCACTACACTCTGTGTCATAACTGGTCATCTCACCACCACAATCTGGGTCATTACAGGTCATCTCACCACTACCCTCTGTGTCACTACTGGTTATATCGGCACTACCCTCTGTGTTTTTACTGGTCATCTTACCGCTACACTCTGTGTCACTACTGGTTATATCGGCACTACCCTCTGTGTTTTTACTGGTCATCTTACCGCTACACTCTGTGTCACTACTGATTATATCAGCACTACACTCTGTGTCACTCCTGGTCATCTCATCACTACACTCTGTGTCATTACTTTTCATCTCACCACTACACTTGTGTCATAAATGGTCATCCCACCACCACACTTTGTGTCATTACAGGTTATCTCAGCAAAACACTCTGTCATTACTGGTCAACTCACCACCACAATCTGTGTCATTACAGGTCATCTCATCGTTACACAGTGTGTAATTCCAGGTCATCGCACCACTGCACTCTGTGTCATTACATGTCATCTCACCACCACACTTTGTCAATACAGGTCATCTCACCACTACATCCTGCGTCATTACAGGTCATCTCATCGTTACACTGTGTCATTACAGGTCATCTTACCGCTGCACTCTGTGTCATAACTGGTCATCTCATCACTACATTCTGTGTTTTTACTGGTTTTATCACCACTATATCCTGTGATATTACCGGTTATATCACCACAACACTCTGTGGCACTACTGGTTATATCACCACAACACTCTGTGGCACTACTGGTTATATCACCACTACATTCTGTGTCACTACTGGTTATATCATCACTACACTCTGTGTCATTACTTTTCATCTCACCACTACACTTGTGTCATAAAAGGTCATCCCACCACCACACTTTGTGTCATTACAGGTTATCTCAGCAAAACACTCTGTCATTACTGGTCAACTCACCACCACAATCTGTGTCATTACAGGGCATCTCACCACTACACTCTGTCATAACTGGTCATCTCACCACCACACTCTGGTGGTACTGGTCATCTCACCACCACACTCTGGTATTACTGGTCATCTAATCACTACATTCTGTGTCACTACTGGTTATATCAGCACTACACTCTGTGTCACTACAGGTTATATCGGCACTACACTCTGTGTCATAACTGGTCATCTCATCACTACATTCTGTGTTTTTACGGGTTATATCACCACTATATCCTGCGATATTACTGGTTATATCACCACAACACTCTGTGGCACTACTGGTTATATCACCACAACACTCTGTGTCACTACTGGTCATCTCACCACTACACACTGTGTCACTACTGGTCATCTTACCGCTGCACTCTGTGTCATAACTGGTCATCTCATCACTACACTCTGTGTCATAACAGGTCATCTCACCACCACACTCTGGTATTACTGGTCATCTAATCACTACATTCTGTGTCACTACTGGTTATATCACCACAACACTCTGTGGCACTACTGGTTATATCACCACAACGCTCTGTGTCACTACCGGTTATATCAGCACTGCACTCTGTGTCACTACTGGTTATATCAAAACTACACTTTTTGTCACTACAGGCCATCTCATCACTACACTCTGTGTCATAACAGGTCATCTCACCACCACACTCTGTGTCATTACAGGTCATCTATTATACGCTGTGTCATTACATCTCATCTCACCACTACACTCTGTTATTACTGGTCATCTCTTCACTACATTCTGTGTTTTTGCTGGTTATATCACCACTATATCCTGTGATATTACCGGTTATATCACCACAACACTCTGTGGCACTACTGGTTATATCACCACTTCACTCTGTGTCACTACTGGTTACATCAGCACTACACTCTGTGTCACTCCTGGTCATCTCATCACTACACTTGGTCATCTCACCACCACACTTTGTCAATACAGGTCATCTCACCACTACACCCTGTGTCACTACTGGTTATATCACCACTACATTCTGTGTCACTACTGGTTATATCATCACTACACTCTTTGTTCCTACAGGTCATCTCATCACTACACTATGTGTTTTTTCTGGTCATCTCACCACTACATTCTGCGTCATTACAGGTCATCTCATCGTTACACAGTGTGTAATTCCAGGTCATCGCACCACTGCACTCTGTGTCATTACATGTCATCTCACCACCACACTTTGGTGTTACTGGTCATCTCACCACCACAATCTGGGTCATTACAGGTCATCTCACCACCACACTCTGGTATTACTGGTCATCTAATCACTACATTCTGTGTCACTACTGGTTATATCACCGCTACACTCTGTGTCACTACTGGTCATCTCATCACTACACTCTGTGTTTTTACAGGTCATCTCACCACTACACTCTGTGTCACTACTGGTTATATCAAAACTACACTTTTTGTCACTACAGGTCATCTCATCACTACACTCTGTGTTTTTTCTGGTCATCTCACCACTACATTCTGTGTCACTACTGGTTATATCAGCACTACACTCTGTGTCACTACTGGTCATTTCACCACTACACTCTGTGTCACTACTGGTTGTATCAGCACTACACTCCGTGTCACTACAGGTCATCTCACCACTACACTCTGTGTCATAACTGGTCATCTCATCACTACACTCTGTGTTATAACTGGTCATCTCATCACTACACTCTTTGTCACTACTGGTCATCTCATCACTACACTCTGTGTCACTACTGGTCATCTTACCGCTGCACTCTGTGTCACTACTGGTTATCTCATCACTACCCTCTTTGTCACTACTGGTCATATCACCACTACACTCTGTGTCACAACTGGTCATCTTACCGCTGCTCTCTGTGTCATAACTGGTCATCTCACCACTACACTCTGTGGCACTACTGGTCATCTCACCACTACACACTGTGACACTACTGGTCATCTCACCACTACACTCTGTGTCATTACTGGTCATCTCATCACCACACTGTGTCACTACTGGTTATATCAGCACTACACTCTGTGTCACTACAGATCATATCACCACTTCACTCTGTGTCACTACTGGTTATATCACCACTACACTCTTTGTCACTACTGGTCATACTCTGTGTTTTTACTGGTCATCTCACCACTATACTCTGTGTCACTACTGGTTATATCAGCACTACACTCTGTGTCACTACAGATCATATCACCACTTCACTCTGTGTCACTACTGGTTATATCAGCACTACACTCTGTGTCACTACAGATCATCTCACCACTACACTCTGTGTCATTACTGGTCATCTCATCACCACACTGTGTCACTACTGGTTATATCAGCACTACACTCTGTGTCACTACAGATCATATCACCACTTCACTCTGTGTCACTACTGGTTATATCAGCACTACACTCTGTGTCACTACAGATCATCTCACCACTACACTCTGTGTCAAAACTGGTCATCTCATCACTACACTCTGTGTTATAACTGGTCATCTCATCACTACACTCTTTGTGACTACTGGTCATCTCACCACTACACTCTGTGTCACAACTGGTCATCTTACCGCTGCACTCTGTGTCATAACTGGTCATCTCACCACTACACTCTGTGTCACTACTCGTTATATCAGCACTAAACTCTGTGTCACTACAGGTCATCTCACCACTACACTCTGTGTCATTACTGGTCATCTCACCACTACACTCTGTGTCACTACTGGTTATATCATCACTACACTCTTTGTTCCTACAGGTCATCTCATCACTACACTCTGTGTCATTACAGGTCATCTCATCACTACACTCTGTGTCATTACAGGTCATCTCACCAATACCCTCTGTGTCACCACTAGTTATATCACCACTACACTCTGTGTCACTACAGGTCATCTCACCACTACACTCTGTGTCACTACTGGTTATATCACCACTACACTCTGTGTCACTACTGGTTATATCACCACTACACTCTGTGTCACTACTGGTTATATCACCACTACACTCTGTGTCACTACTGGTTATATCACCACTACACTCTGTGTCACTACTGGTTATATCACCACTACACTCTGTGTCACTACTGGTTATATCACCACTACACTCTGTGTCACTACTGGTTATATCACCACTACACTCTGTGTCACTACTGGTTATATCACCACTACACTCTGTGTCACTACTGGTTATATCACCACTACACTCTGTGTCACTACTGGTTATATCACCACTACACTCTGTGTCACTACTGGTTATATCACCACTACACTCTGTGTCACTACTGGTTATATCACCACTACACTCTGTGTCACTACTGGTTATATCACCACTACACTCTGTGTCACTACTGGTTATATCACCACTACACTCTGTGTCACTACTGGTTATATCACCACTACACTCTGTGTCACTACTGGTTATATCACCACTACACTCTGTGTCACTACTGGTTATATCACCACTACACTCTGTGTCACTACTGGTTATATCACCACTACACTCTGTGTCACTACTGGTTATATCACCACTACACTCTGTGTCACTACTGGTTATATCACCACTACACTCTGTGTCACTACTGGTTATATCACCACTACACTCTGTGTCACTACTGGTTATATCACCACTACACTCTGTGTCACTACTGGTTATATCACCACTACACTCTGTGTCACTACTGGTTATATCACCACTACACTCTGTGTCACTACTGGTTATATCACCACTACACTCTGTGTCACTACTGGTTATATCACCACTACACTCTGTGTCACTACTGGTTATATCACCACTACACTCTGTGTCACTACTGGTTATATCACCACTACACTCTGTGTCACTACTGGTTATATCACCACTACACTCTGTGTCACTACTGGTTATATCACCACTACACTCTGTGTCACTACTGGTTATATCACCACTACACTCTGTGTCACTACTGGTTATATCACCACTACACTCTGTGTCACTACTGGTTATATCACCACTACACTCTGTGTCACTACTGGTTATATCACCACTACACTCTGTGTCACTACTGGTTATATCACCACTACACTCTGTGTCACTACTGGTTATATCACCACTACACTCTGTGTCACTACTGGTTATATCACCACTACACTCTGTGTCACTACTGGTTATATCACCACTACACTCTGTGTCACTACTGGTTATATCACCACTACACTCTGTGTCACTACTGGTTATATCACCACTACACTCTGTGTCACTACTGGTTATATCACCACTACACTCTGTGTCACTACTGGTTATATCACCACTACACTCTGTGTCACTACTGGTTATATCACCACTACACTCTGTGTCACTACTGGTTATATCACCACTACACTCTGTGTCACTACTGGTTATATCACCACTACACTCTGTGTCACTACTGGTTATATCACCACTACACTCTGTGTCACTACTGGTTATATCACCACTACACTCTGTGTCACTACTGGTTATATCACCACTACACTCTGTGTCACTACTGGTTATATCACCACTACACTCTGTGTCACTACTGGTTATATCACCACTACACTCTGTGTCACTACTGGTTATATCACCACTACACTCTGTGTCACTACTGGTTATATCACCACTACACTCTGTGTCACTACTGGTTATATCACCACTACACTCTGTGTCACTACTGGTTATATCACCACTACACTCTGTGTCACTACTGGTTATATCACCACTACACTCTGTGTCACTACTGGTTATATCACCACTACACTCTGTGTCACTACTGGTTATATCACCACTACACTCTGTGTCACTACTGGTTATATCAGCACTACACTCTGTGTTTTTACTGGTAATCTCACCGCTGCGCTCTGTGTCATTACTTTTTATATCACCACTACACTCTGTGTCACTACTGATTATATCAACACTACACTCTGTGTTACTACTGGTCATCTCATAACTACACTCTGTGTCATAACTGGTTATATCACCACTACACTCTGTGTCACTACTGGTTATATCACCACTACACTCTGTGTCACTACTGGTTATATCACCACTAAACTCTGTGTCATTACATGTCATCTCACCACTACACTCTGTGTCTTTACAGGTCATCTCACAACTACACTCCGTGCCATTACAGGTCATCTCACCACTACACTCTGTGTCATTACTGGTCATCTCAGCACTACACTCTGTGTTACTACTGGTTATATCACCACTACACTCTGTGTCAATACTGGTAATATCACCTCTAAACTCTGTGTCACTACTGGTTATATCACCGCTACACTCTGTGTCACTACAGGTTATATCATCACTACACTCTGTGTCATTACTGGTTGTATTACCACTACACTCTGTGTCACTACTGGTTATATCACCGCTACACTCTGTGTCATTACTAGTTATATCACCACTACACTCTGTTACACTACTGGTTATATCACCACTACACTCTGTGTCACTACATGTTATATCAACACTACACTCTGAGTCACTACTGGTTATATCACCACTACACTCTTTGTCATTACAGGTCATCTCATCACTACACTCTGTGTTTTTACTGGTCATCTAACCACTATACTCTGTGTCACTACTGGTTATATCAGCACTACACTCTGTGTTTTTACTGGTCATCTCACCGCTACACTCTGTGTCACTACTTGTTATATCACCACTACACTCTGTGTCACTACTGGTTATATCACCACTACA